AATTTAAATATTAAGTCTTAATATTTAAATTCATTTATGTATAGTGTTATAATTACTATTTGAAAATGTGCGATACTTGATTGAATAGTGACACCAATAATTGAACAGTTAAAAATTTTTAATATTTTGTTGCAAGATTCCTCAAGTTAATAATAATTTGTTCATTGTAAAATTCTTTTTTATAATTAATTAACACAAAAATGTTTATAAATTATTTTTTTGAAAATAAGAATTATCCAGTGAATTAACAGGTAATAATATTGTATCACAAATAGTAACAAGTAGAGCTAATTTTTAATATTTTTTATTTTTATATATACTATCATCTACTCATGGTTTGGACGACGGGACGATCACACCTCCTAAAATTAATTGTATATTCTTAATTCTACATTTCTATTAAAAATGCAAATTTTTAAATAGTTATAATACATTTTGTTATCATTTAAATTATACATAANATTTGTCGTGTGCGAACATTGAAGTTGTTTGCCTGAGTTACCAGGTGTATAAACGGGTACGCATGCACACCACGAGCAGTATTTGGACAACCGGCAGCGTCGTCCATACGGTAAAATATTAGTGTGCTACTATATTGTTAATTTATTTTTAGAATTAACTGCGTGTACGCTCGTCGTTATCGGTTGCTATAAAACCAATCGCTATTATTTATTTTTTTCATTTCTCTTTTCTACCGTGACCTTTAAAATAATAATATATGTATTGTGTTTTATTATATTATACTTAATTTGACAATTTTTTACACCTATGACTATTGGTATTATATTTAAAGTCGCATCCTCACCACCAGCACCAATGAACCATATGAAGTTTAAACCAATTGAACAATATTCTGATGGAACTTTGTTCCTTTTGATATTGGTTTTTTTTTCATGAGAAATCTATACCAACGAAAATAATAAATTTTTTTTTTTAAATCATACTTATCAAATAATTTTGAATTTCCTTTAATTAATCAAGGAAATTTCAAATGGATTGAATAAAAAAAATTCTATGGCATAGTTATAGAACTAAAGATAATGGTGTTTATTGTCGCTTATAGTTGGTATGTGTTATATTTGGTCGTGATCATGTTGGAGTAGAAGAACAAAAATTTAGCATTCCAACAGTGAAATCCTTTAACAAATATAATAAAAACTGTACTTTTAATTATCATGCTTTATCAGAATCTGAGGACTTAAGAGGACGTCATACAGAGTATAAAACGGTTTTAAACATGTTTTGCGCGGGACTACTTTATTTGATCTGTATTGATGCTAGTCACAAATTTTTTACCAAATTATAAAGGAGAAAATTATTCGTGATCTAGCGTTTTTATTTTTTTGTTAACATCATTTCTAGTATTTTATATTTACCAGTGGCGTACACAGAAATTAAATTGGGGGGAGTTTTTTGAAATTTTAAAAAAATTAGATGTGACACTGTCCATATTGTTGGCTCACAAAAATTCCTGTTTTTGATTATTTTATTGTGGAAATATATATAGTATAATATGATCTTTTTTATTGTTATTACTTATTGTTTATCGTCCAAAATTGTCGCTTAGCTTATAAATTTAGAGGGGATAGTTCAACCTCCAAAATGCCCCTTGCGTACGCCAGTGATATTTACTATTAAGTATTTCTATATTTTTGGTTTTTTAAATGTTTAATAAATCACTTCAGAGTTGCGATATCAAAATTATAAAAACGCTAGATTACAGATAATTTTCTCTTTTATAATTTGGGACTCTAAAATCGATATAGATCAAATAAAGCAGTCCCGAGCAAAACAGTTTTTATGCAAAAAAATTAATTTTTATCTATCGAGATTTGTGTCGGTCCCTAGCGGCACTTTTAAAACGTGATGAATTTCCTGTTGAATGACGGTAACCGATTACCCTCAACTTTCAACTACTACCTCGCTAATGATCAAAACCAGTTATTTTATAATTTATTATTGACGCATTTAGCAGTCGCTTATCTGAATTTGTAAAAGTATTGTTATTATTGATTGGTGATGGGATTTAAATTTAAGCTTTACTATGTTTATTTTTATACGCAAGTAATAATGCAAATATAATGAAAATATCTATAAATCTGTCAGAAATTTTCGTGGAATTTTATCTTGTAACATAAGAAAACACACTAGTCACAAATATGATTCCATAACATACATTATATTCGTGGGAAGCAGGACGGATCAACCGTCTTTTTATAGTAACCGACGAGAATTGGATATTATTTCTTAAAAAATTCTTAAAAGAATTAATTTATACGTAGTATATTGTATCACTTAAGACCATTTTTTCTAAGTTTTATAACTCATGTGTCAATTTTACAAAAAATTTGTAACACGAACAATAGGCATTATTAAACAGCATTTTACAAATTTCTGATTGACTATAAATATATTTATAATACAGAGAATACTCCTAATATAATACATTTATTTTATGTATGTATTGAGTGCGTATACGCACTATAGTTTACTAAGTTTACTCGCACTATAGAGAGTATACACTGATATTAAATTTTATATGAGCCTGTTGACATTAAAATTTTGCAATCTAAAATAAAATTTGCTATAGCGTATTTTTTTAATTCAGAGATAACCATTTAATTTACATTTTTTGAACAAACCAGGTTTTTCACGCGTAGCTTAATTTAAGGTTAGTTATAAATAGTGATACTTTGAAAATTTAATTTAAACAAAATGGTAGAAAAATCATGCATGATAAAGTGATTATTGATATTTTTGATAAAAATGAAATGACATTTATTTTATGATTCCTATATATGTTTGTTTGATAATCGGTATAAATAAATGTATGTATATATACATTCGTTTATGTGTACTATTTCTTGGTAATTCTTTCACACATTTTATACTGACCGATTATGAATTTATATTTAGTGAACTCTTATTTCTTACTTCATTGGGCATTATAACGTTACACTGAAAGTTGATATTTAAATTTTACCACGTTTTGTGTATTTTGTAAAACACAACTTACTTATTATGTCAAAAGGCAACGTGTTTATAAAAGAAATAATGTTCTATCAAAAAATAAACTTAAATTAAGAATGAAGGATATCCAGAAAAGAATTCATAAAAATAAATCGTAAGTTCATTTGATAACTTAATTTTTGTTGCTACATATAAAAACAAATTTGCTGTCATTTGAGGTGGTTGCTTATGATGATACATATTTTTTTAATTCTGTTAAACTGTATTTGATTTATATAATTTAAATTTTAAAAATTATTTTACAACATTTTGAGAATATATTTATCATAAAATTCGTTTATATATATATATATATATATATTACATATTATTTAGATATTAAAAAACATACTTCAAAATTCATACCCTAAATTCATACTCATTTTATATAGAAAATTGAATGACATACCATATAATGAGTCAATATCAAGATATGATGAGAAATCTCATGCTATAACAAATAGAAATTCTTTAAATCATAATTTACTTCAAAATAGTATTAATTCGGATTTATTGTTAGTGTTTTTGAATTTTTTTATTTATAAAAGTTTTTTCAAAATTTATCATAAGCTTTTAACTTTATAAAAATTTAGAGTTAATATTACCACATATTTTAAACCTTTAAGTTCTGAACATAATAATAATATATCTCGTCTTATAAGAAATAGTACTCCACTAAATCGTAGTTTATTGAAAATAGTGTAAATCAGGATCTTATGTAAATATTATATAATATTTTATATTCATAAAAATTTTATTTACATCACTATTTTCATAAAATATTTTGATTTTTTTTTAAACTAAGAATCGGTATGGTCACACATATTACGCCCTCCAGTTCTGAAATGACAGAATAGTGAGTAATTTTTAAAATATTTCGACCTCTATTTAGTAATAATTATTACTTATAAAATTATTTATAATTTAATTTAAAATAGTTTTTTCTGTATCTTTTTTACTCAAGTGACTATAGTATTTCGCAACATAGTTTAAGTATCCATATGGAAAAAAATAGTGTTTCATTGATTAGTCAAAATAAATTGAATAACCAGTAAAGCATTTCATTAATAATTTAATTAAACAATTTATTCAATAAAAACTTAAATTTTTTAAAGAATTAACTGGTAGAAGAATTATCAATATATCATATTTAATTTAACAAATTGAAAAGTGTCATGATTGCTCATTTGTCGACATGGAATATGAGTCAGAAGTGATCTATGGCTTTTCATCAGTTATCACATTCAAATTAAAAGTCTGTAACATAAAAATTAAACTACATACAGAGGACTTAAAACATTTGGAGATGCAGATAAATAAAGCTGTCGTAAATGCTTCTCAAGCAATTAGAATTGGTCATACTTAACTACAAGAATTTGCGGGATTTCTCGACTTGCCTGTTTTGTGTAGTAGAGGTTTTCTGAATGTTTAAACTGAGGAAGCCGAAGTAGTTTGTGCTACTGTATGGGATGAAATGAAGAAAGCCGGGGACGAAGAAAGAAAATTAGCACTCAAATCTGGTGACGTAAATATAGACTAAGTTTAAAATATCAACTTTTTATGTCGCCTCAAAAAATCAAAAATATGTTTACATCAAATTATAGAAATAAAAAAAATAATAATAATATTAAAATAACGCTTAATGACATTCCACATCAAATTAAAGATTATTGGTCAACTAATATTTCTAACGTTTTGTTTACACGTAGGCAACAATAATTGGATAAAAAATTAAAACATTTGTTTTGTTGGAATACGCAACATATATTGTTTAATTTATCAAAGGGCTTCTGGTATGAACATTAAAAATGTATCAGATTACTAATGTTTTCTCAACTGGAAAAAGCTTCAATATGCATGGAAGCAGATTGCATTTTGGAAGGATTTTCTAAAAGCATCGAAATACATGGTCTTAAATATAACTGTTTGATTGATAATTAATAAATTAAATACAAATATCATATTATTATTATTTTGTTATTTCATTGATAATACAAAATATGTTGCTTGATAAGTGATGTAGATAGTAGTGTAACGAAGCGATTAGTAGAAAGTCGACTATTTAATTTTACATGTAGCACTAACTTGATACATTTTAAGTTTAATCAATGTATATTATTTTCGGTCTTTAGGACGATTTAATTAATGGACCCTTGGTCAATATATAAAATGCAGTTCATACTTTTGTACTAGATCAAAAGATACAACTATAAATTTAGTTCTAGAGGCGGAAACTGGAGAAATATTAAATATTGCTTCTAGACTTGTATCTAATTCAGAAAGTTTATTAGAAAACAAGACCTCTAATATTTGTGAACAATTCAATTCTTTAATTAATAAACATGTAAGGGGTAAGAGATTGAACTTTTGTGGAATAGGTAATTACAATACGAGGGTAGAGGCAGATGCTGTGGCATTTCATTCCAAAGGGTATTTAAGACAAATGCATATAATAACAAGTAACTGCAGTCCAGGTAAAATATATAGTTCTAAAATTATAATTATAATTTTAGAAATTTAAAAAATATAGAAATTATTTATTTTTTAATTATTTTACATTATCATTATTTTAGGAAAATGTTGAAAATATTTTCACAGGAAGAAATTGAGATGAAAAAAAAATAATTTTTAGGCCAAACTGATGTTTAAAAAATTGTAATTGAAACAAGAGATCAAAACAACAATGTAATGTGATACAGTGAACGAAAGAAACACTTGACTACTTCTAATTATATTCAGATATGTAAGATGCGATCCAACACAAGCTGCAGAAATGTAGTTTATAATATTTTATACGCAACTAATTTCCAGTCAAAAGCATTACAGCATGGAAAAATCATGGAAGCTAAAGCTTGACAAAATGTTGAGCGGTTTTTAAACAAAATTGTCAATAATAGTGGTTTGGTTTGGTAGTAGTTCCAGATTATCCATATCTAGCTGCCAGTCCAGGTAATTAAATCTAATGTATTATTTGTTTTATGTTAGTTTACCATAAAACGGCATGATATTTTTTTTATAATTCATTTAAACTTGTATAAGATTACTTTATAGCTAAAACTGGATATATATTGCGCTAACATTTACATTGTACATACACTTTATTATAAATATTAAAAATTTAATTTTAACTAGCATAATAATCAATGACATAAAGAGATTGTTATTACGCTATATTACTAAATTACCTATTATACTACATTCGCTAGATGGTGTAATAGAAGAAAATTATTTGGTATGAAGGGAAAATTTAAGTATAAATGTGCAGTTAGATTTAAATTAAAAAAAAAAAAACAGAAAAATTGCAAAAAACTTTCACTTATAGAAAAACAATTATATTTTGGCATTATGTGGGTATAGACATGAAACTGGAAATGCTTTAATTTATATTTCTAATTTTTTGTAAATGACCGAAATTTTCGAGCTATACTTTGTTTTTGAGTTGAGTTAAGTGATGTTGAATTAAATGAAAATTTGCAAAATGCCAATAAAAATGCAACTTTTATTAGTGCCACTACTCAAAATGACATGATAAAATGTAGTGGAGATTTTTAGTAAAAAAGATTATAGCAAAAGTAAATAAAGCTAAATACTTTTCTATATTAGCAAACGAGACTACTGATACCAGTAATGTTGAACAATAACAATTAGTATAAGATATATAGTAATAGAAACAAAATCAATTCGAGAAGATTTTATTCAGTTTTTGAAAGTTATTTATTTGAATGAAGATGTTATAGAAAAATCTACAATTAATAATATTAAAATGTTAAGCTTTGTTTTTGAACAATATCTTCTAAAATCAAATATTTAGCTTTAATGCGTAGCTGAGAAGATATTGGTTTTACCCTGCAGTGTTTTTTATGTGTATATACAGGATGGCCCACCACTCACTGACAACTTAAATAACTTTTGATCCAGTTAATATTTTTAGTTGATTTTTTTTTTAAATAATAGTTATACGTTAGGTCTATAGCTATATCTCAATAATTAATTTTTTTACATTTTATTAAAAATATTAATTATTTTTAAATTTTAAATAAAATGTAAAAAAAAAATCTAAGATAGCTATTTTGTAGAGTAGAATTTAAGAAAAATTTTAGTAAAAAAATATCTTATTAATATTCAGTAGTAAATATTCTGTAGCGTTTTGAAGTTTGTGAAAATTTGAATTTTCATGTACTATTTTACGGTATTAAACATTGAAATACGTATTGAGAAAAGGACAGAAGAAAACGCTATCTTTTCAATATACTTTTGAATGAGAGTGATAAGTAATAATTGCCTTATCTAATTTCTTATCATGGTATTTATGCCAAGTTTGTAATGTATACACACTATCATCATATGTATACACAGTAATCATGAAAAGATAGCGTTTTCTTCTGTCCTTTTCTCAATACGTATTTCAATGTTTAATACCGTAAAATAGTACATGAAAATTCAAATTTTCACAAACTTCAAAACGCTACAGAATATTTACTACTGAATATTAATAAGATATTTTTTTACTAAAATTTTTCTTAAATTCTACTCTACAAAATAGCTATCTTAGATTTTTTTTTTACATTTTATTTAAAATTTAAAAATAATTAATATTTTTAATAAAATGTAAAAAAATTAATTATTGAGATATAGCTATAGACCTAACGTATAACTATTATTTAAAAAAAAAATCAACTAAAAATATTAACTGGATCAAAAGTTATTTAAGTTGTCAGTGAGTGGTGGGCCACCCTGTATATCAAGCTGTTCACCTCCTAATGGATCGGCTTTGCTAACGTTAAAAGATTACAAAACATACCTAGTTAAAACATTAATTATTTCCATAAAAAAAAAGAAATGCCTCAAAAATTAATATTGTTATAAAAAAGTCAATGTTTTTTTCTATCACTTTACATTGAAATAACTGGGCGAATTATTATAATTGTTTTATTAATAAAACCTTATACACTTAACTATAAGTGATAACTGAAAATATATAAGATAAAAATGTAATTATTATTTTGATTTTTTGAAGTTGAAAATGATCACTTAAAAGTGAGCCTTATAAAGAGTAGGGTATAGCTTTTATAGATATACTATATACAACAATGACTGTGTGTGACCTTAGTATTAAAAAATGTTCATAAACAAAATTTCATGTATGCTATTTTGAAATATAACAAGGATACAGTAATCAAATAGATAAAATCATTTTCAGTACTGCGTAAATACGTAGAATTAACCATCAGTCATGTTTTTAAACTAACATTGAAAAGCTTCACCAGTTTTTTAACTGAGGATTATCATTGGCGTAGAAATAAATACTTATCTTAAAGTATTTAATCATGTTCTTTAATTGTTGTATATTTGTATTAACTACTTTAATATTTATTACTACAAAGGTTATTTATCTAAATATTTTACAAATATAATTGTTATATATTAATTTATAAAAAATACTTCTACATTTTTTTTTTTAATTATGATAAATAGGGTCAACAACCACAGCAACCTAATATTAAAAGAGCTTCATCAAAGTTCAATGACTTAATGAAAAATGCATCACAAGAATGTTTATCAAAGAACCACGTTACTATAGGTATTAACATAATACAAAATACTTTTTAATTTTATCACAAATGTAACCTATATTGCTACATGACAATTCCAAATAGTAATTTGTCAAGTATAAAAAATTATTTTAATTTAAAGAAAATTAATTTTTCATACAATTTACATTGTCTACAATAAGATTAGCTTTGAAATAGTTGAAAAGATAATTACTAATTTTTATATTTTATATTTTAAGTTTAATTTGATTGTTTATGTTAAGAACGTGTAGTGGCTCTCTACTCAATTAACACTGAAGATCATGCAGCAAAGTGCTATGTATCCTGTATGCTGAATCGTTTTAATGTAGTATGTTTAATAATTATTTTTAGATAAAATAATTTAAAAATAGACATGGTGAGGTTTTTTTTAATCATGATTAAAAATTTATTGATTGTTAAAAAGTATTTTGGAATCACCCAATTGTTTTTACAATGATTTTTAAAATTTTTCAATTAAATTTTGCAATTCCAATAAAACTTAAATAAACTAGTATTTTATAAGAAGTTGACTTCACTAGTATAATATGTAAACAATATAAAAAAATTACAGTTATTAATTTTGTTAGCTTCGATGCGAAGCTGAGAAGGTATTAATTTTATCATGATGTGTTTTTATTTTTTGTGTCGGTAACCACTTTTTCTTAGGTCTCATTGGACCGATTTTTCTCAACGATACGTCAAAAGATCAAAAATTGTATTTAATTGAAGACATTACCCTCAAAAATTGAAAAAATTTCCCTCGTTCCCCGTAAATGAGGGAAATCTCCAAAAAAATTACAAATTTAAAAATCGATAATTTTCGAAATTTTTTCAATTTTTTTTACTTAAAATTGCCATAACTTTTTTAAAAATAACTAAATCAATATAATTTTTTTTTATATAGATGCATGATATCATTACCTTTTATTTGGTATATTTTTTTATAAATCTGACTCTTTATCTGCATACAGGGGGGGATTCAAAATGACAACGTTTTCACAAAAAATTAACTTTTTCAACTTAACTTTTGAAAGTGTTCCGGAAATACTGACACTTTTATATATATCTTAAATTAAAGCTAATGTAATATTTTTTATTATGGAAAAAAAAAATTTCGGACTTTATTTTGTCTTTATGGTGAAAATGGCTACCGAATGATATTTTTGTGTGAAAATTCTCGATTTTATTTTTTACATTTTTAACTTTATAATGCTATAACTTATTCAAAAGTGTATGGACCAACACAATTTTTTTATGAGAAATAATATTTATATTCCTCTTTAATTTGGCATATTTTATCTTAATCAGGATATAAATAAGGAAATAGCAGATCATGTTGCTTTTTAAACACTATCTACATATTTGAATCGAAGCGTTTCTTATGATAGTGATTTTAATAAATTAAGGTTTATGATTACTACAATTTTATAGACTAATGAGAAAGGCGAATACAATGAGAAAGCGTTAAAACAAATGATGAAGAGACGAAAAACTCAGGATATATCGTCAGCTTTAAAAGAAAACATAGATAAGTGCACATCTCAAGGTAAATTAAAACTTTACATACACATGAGTATTATTTATTTATATTATAAAGAATTTAATTATTAAACAATTTTTTTTTAGCAAATGATGTTGACTCTTGTGAAAAGGCAGTACAGTTTACAAAGTGTCTTTATTCAAACAAACAAGAGGTATTTCTAAAAAATCATTATTGAAATTTAATTTTCAAGTTTAACTTTATACTTTAAAATGTTTAAATTTTCAAGGTTTGTAAAATTATAACTAATCTTTAGTATATTTCTAACGCAGATGGGAATCGACAACGGCAACCAAATGCGCCCACCTCAGTCAATGCCTCCGATAATTCCTTTTTCTTCTATAAGACCAAGATTTCCAAACCCTAACTCTAGAGGACCTCCTCAAAGACAACAAAATGGTCAAGTCGGTAGTTGGAGAAATGGCAACCGTATGCCTTTTAACATACAGTCACCTAATATGACTGAAAACACTGATTTTATATAAAGTTATCGGAAATAAATTCCAGATCTAATACTTAATTTAAATAATTAATAGCCCCACTTATCTTGATTAATTTTAATACTTTACTTTATGAATTACTATGCACAAAATAGATTTAATTTTAATGGTGACTGGAATAATTTTTACTATATTGATTTGTTCGGTATAAATTATCACGTTATTTCTTCTCTTTAAATAAAAGAATAAATGATAATCATAAAAAAATATTAACACGTTGTCTTATTTATGAAAAATTTGTATAACAAGTTACATAATGTATTATAAATTAATATACATTTTATATTTAAAACTTAATAGTTTTATTTAACTCTTATTTATATTATTAAAATCAACATTCTTACAACTAACTAAATAATAATTTTGTAACATAGTCTTTTCGAATAGGAATAATAATAAAAACTTAATTCATAAAAGATTATATGCAATAAAATTCATTAGGTAATTTACGAATGTTCCTATCATTTTTTTTTATTTTAACTAGTATAATAATGGTCTGTGAAAAAATTGATGAAAATTTTATTTTAAGTTATAATTTTTAAATCTTTAAATTCACTATTGTTAAACGCTTCAATATGAATGTACATGAAGGAATTTTATGAATTTTTTGTAATGTGAGGTTATATAAAATAAAGGAAAGACAATTTAAAATCTGAAATTTGCATGAATCTGCTTCAATATCTAGGCTAACACTACAAATTTTTCAGTCTTTCGTTTTCTAAGGGACGAAATATGAATTTTCCTGAACATACAAGAACTAAAATTTTTGTTTAAAAATTACATCAAAACACGCTAAATATGAGTTTATAACTACAATTATAGTTGAGGTAAATTTTATAAAATTAAAAACGTTCCAGTTTTATAACATTGATGTATGCGCACGTATGTAGTACTGTGAGTAACAAAGTGTATCGTAAGATGCTTTTATGTTAATAAAATAATGTTGCTATGTGTAATTTATTTTGAGAAATACTGAATTCATCTTACCCTGTCTTACCTTAATTATGCAGTAGATTTCACTTAAGAGACAAATTATCGGAACAATATTTTTTTGTCTTTGAGTAAATTGCATAAGCTTTATTTTATGTGTATTAAAAGATATTAAAATTTCCAAAATACTTAAAAATTAAAAAAAAAAAAATGAAATACAAATCATTAAATAATATGACATTTGGTTAATACTAACCATTAAAAATAATCCATATGGAATAAGTTGTTCATAATAAAAAAAAATGAAATTAGTACAAAAATTAAGGATTGTAAGTAGATCTATGGATTGACAAGATATTATTTTTAAAACGATCACGAGATGTATTAAAAATATCATATTCATACAAACTGAATTGGCCAGTGTTAATGTTTTAGAGAAAAATGATTCAGCTGCTAAATTAGTTTTAAAATTAGTAGGGACATAAAATAAAGATTGTTATCTAGTTAAATGAATTAAGGTAAGAAATCCATCTAGAAATAGTAGTTTAGAGCAATCAATATTAAATTTTATAATAACCTAAATGAACACAACGTCGACTAATTTACGTCCGATTTCATATGACAAGGACTATTGAGTCCGCTAGTAATGTATAAGAATCCCTAGAAATAGATAGTTTCAGTTTAAAAGCTACTATTTTTAAAAAAATTTATTGAACACTCTCATACTTCGAAATACAGTTTGTGTAGATAGGAGACCAAATAAGAGAACCAAACTCTAAGTGAAAACAAATCAAAAAGCAATGTAAAGATTTTATGAAATTTTTATTTTTAAATTGTACTATGATTCTATTTAAAAACCCAAGCATTTTTAAAGCTTTATTAAAAGTAAAATAAATATCAAAAGTAAATGACAAATTAGATATAAAATAAATACCAAAGTCTTTGACTGAAGACACTATTTTCAATTGAATATATGAAATACGATAATTATAAATTATTACGAACAAAAGATAAAATATGACATTTATCAATATTTAAAAGGGAGAAATTGAGCATACTACATTCAATAATTAGATTTAAATTAGCTTGTAAAAATGTACAATCATCATTAAAGTGGACTTCACTATTAATTTTTGTATTATCAGCAAGTAATAAAATTCTACTGTCATTACCAAAAATAGAAGGCAAATTATTAATAAAAATAAGAAACAATAACTCTTAAAAAAATAAGAGCCTTGATATAAACCTGAAAAAGCAATAAATTATTCAGATATTATGTTCAATAACTTAACTTGTTGCGTACAATCATGAAAATAAGATTCAATTCACTTTAATAATATACCTTGAACACCATTACACAACGCAATTTTACTAACAACAGTCTATGATTAACTTAATCAAATGCTTTTTTGAAGTCAATACATATACAATCTATTATTAAATGCAATATTTATTGGCCCTCATGAATACCATTTAAAATATCGGTTTGAAATACTCGATTATTACTAACTATTGAATTTTTCGATAGAAATCCATGTTGATAGTTAGAAAAATAGATTTTTTATTAAAGCAGAAAATTTATTAGTAATTAAGGCCTCAAAAATTTTTGGTATTATTGACATCTTTGAAAGTTACAACTTTAGATCCAGGAATATTACCTATTTTATGTAATTCCATTACATATGACTTTTTCCAAAAAGTAGGAAAATAACCAGTGCTCAATAATCTATTAAATATATGTAATAAAGATTTAACCAAAACATAGCAACAGTTTTTTTAAGAAAATAGGAGGAATATTGTCAGGATCAACTCCATAGTATAAGTATAAAGTAGAAAAATAATCACTATTCTCATTATAATAATAATTGAAGACTATTAAATTTTGAATTAGAACTAATATTTAAATAAGAAATAGAAGAATAAGATAATTCTATATTGTTGAATCCTTAACATATACAAAAGAGAAATAATCACGGGAAAAAACAGCTGACCCTTTAGCACATTCAGAACTTGTACATTTTAAAATATAGCAATCTGATAAAATTGATTAATTTTTTTTAAGACTGTATGTATAATTCCAGAAGGGTTTAAAAATATTAAAAATATCATTTACAATTTTAACTATATTATTAACTATATATTAATATAACTATATATTAATTTTCAAAAAACCCTTAGTAAAATTAACTAAACCTGTTGTTGGGCGCCACTTTGTTATAATTCAAATATATATATTAGGCAGTGTTGGTAAAATATAAATAATGAAAGATAAATATTTGAGCTTAGTGAGAACCTGATGTTGTGGTTCTATCGGGGTCGTATGGTTCGAGGGTTTAGAACGACAACGACAAGTAGATATAAAAATATATATTAAGTTCCTCTTATAGAGGTAGAATAAACTTTTGTCTGGTTAGTTTCTAATGTTCTAACTAAGAGGCAACGAAACGGCGAAGCCAGTTCACGAATACCTCGGCAACGAGACGGCAGAGCCAGTCCACGAATGCCATATAACGTGATTATGTATAACTTCTTTAACCAACCAGTCAAAATTGACACTTTAAGATATTAATTTAATAAATGATCTATTGCTTTGTCATCCTTTACTCAAATTTATTAACTNCATTGAAGTTGGATATACTGTGTTATTTTATACTTAGATATCCTAATGCAGCACAGGAAAAAATCCAGACATCCCCAAGAATGATTTTATATTGTACAAACAATTTTATGTGTTATATTAGTTATTATTTTTTAATATTACACACTTAGGAATTAATCACTAATAAAATTGCACAAGACAATTTTTACAGCACATATTTGTTATAGAAAAATTAGTTTTCAAATGGATCTCTTAGATGTTAAAAAATAAGTTACGGTTAGATACAACTTTGTGGATCAACTGAAAAAACAGTTAACTAACAGTTTTTTGATTTGATGAAAATATTTTGTAATTACTGGATAATTAAAAAATAAAATTCTCAAAGATAAATATATATTCTAATAACAGAAAAAACTTTTTCAAAAATGTACATTTGTATTAAACACTATTAATTTTATATTACTTAATGAATGACTATTATCATTCGAGTATTAATAACATATGTCAAATGTGAGAAATTGTACCAGAAAATAATAAGCAAAATGTATATTATTGTATAATAACTATAGTAGCAAATAAATGCTAATTGAATAGAACATTTTAATTTAAATTTTACAATAT